GTTTTTCTTCATTACCCATTCAAGCCGTCTCCAACAATTATTAGTTGTACATTTGCTGTTATGTTAAACTTATATTAAAGTTTTTCTTCATTACCCATTCAAGCCGTCTCCAACAATTATTAGTTGTACATTTGCTGTTATGTTAAACTTATATTAAAGTTTTTCTTCATTACCCATTCAAGCCGTCTCCAACAATTATTAGTTGTACATTTGCTGTTATGTTAAACTTATATTAAAGTTTTTCTTCATTACCCATTCAAGCAGTCTCCAACCATTATTAGTATCAAAGTGGGTTCCTCGTCTACAAATGTCAGCATACATTTAAGATGTAAAACAGTTTTCCTTCCAGATGAACATTTAACCTAAAAATCCAGCATTTAAAACAAACAATGTTATTTCATCTATCAATGACTGTCGATCTCTTGTGCTGTTACTATTTATCGTTGCCACAATCCACCAGTTAAATATCCATATCCCATAAATCGCAGCAACTATCCCAATATGATCCGACAGAGTTCTTAGTTCTAACTTAAACACACTATGGCCCAATCCTCTACCCGATCTCCATCTATAACGTACAACCCTCAGTAAAAGATAAGATTAAAAGTGAAAAGACGCTTTAAGCGTTCTAAGTTAGTTAGCGTTAGTCTGATGTCAAGTCAATATTGCATGACACACTTAGATATAGTCTAATTTCAGTTAAATATAAAATAAACTAGTTAAAGCTAGGCTAAACACAGATCAAGATAACGTGAATTGATTAGATATCATACATAAATCTTGACATAACAGAATTAAAATATGTTACACTAGTGGGTCCATGATTTTCAAGAGGATAGGCGTAACCAGGTGCAGCTGGAGATCAAGGGCTCCGCTTTAAGTGACAAGTGATTAAGGAAAGTGGCTCCGGATACATCCTTAACTCTTTTTTTTTTTTGGCTAGGAGGCGTGCACCGACTATGCCCTGTGCTGGACTTGCCAGTGCTTTACTCAGCTTCTAACTGAAGCTGAAATACGGTTTAGTCACATTATGGCAATACTAGAATTACTTTGTTTATAATTCATTTAAACTTTTTCATATTCTACTCACTTTATAGATCTAGTTCTACATTTAAACACACAATTCACGCATGTTTTAGCAGAGTTCATCTACGTTGTTTAACACAACCAAAATTACCGCAATAGTGTGTCGTTATATTATCATTTATCAATACAAATTATATAGCGTAATTGTTTAATAATAACAACAATGCTACAATATTTTATCATTTGTTCGTATTTAACACTGGCAATAATACTACAGAGGTTGAGCACATTATATTGAGAAGATTTTTGAATATGCAAATTAGCAAGTCAAGTGCCAACTACAGCCGATGTAAAGTCGTGGTGGAACGGAATTTACCACAACTACATTTTGACCTTATTTAGCGTATAGTAGATAGTGCGATGCCACCGAAAATTAATCGCTTTTGGGAACAAATGTAACAGGCTTTTAAATACACTGTTATGTATGACAATGTCAGATTCACTGAACACATGATCACGTATACCGAATTTATTATTCGTCACTAAATTTGCGCGTTTCTTTATAAGTGTTTCTAACAAGCTATTTGTAAAATCGATATAAATAAAATTACATCTAGGACATTTGAATTTAAAAAAAAAAACTTTCGATATTTTCAAGTATGAAATTTTTTCTGCCTTTGGCAAAAATTGTATTCTATTCTCATGTTTAAAAACTAGTTCTTAAGTCAATTTGTGTATAGGATCCATGAGCCATGAAATAGCTTACACGATTTTGTTTTCTTTACATTTAATACACGTTTACCTGCATAAGGTAATATCATGAAACATTGAATATCACTTGTTGAAGATTGTTAACTATATCTAAATAATTATGTATGATGTTATCTGTTATATTATTTGGAAAATCATTTTAATGTTAATTCCTTATGAACATATTCACACGCGCTAGCTGTTTTATCAACCAGCGATGGGGCGAATAGTGGAGATCAATAATCGAATACAAATACGAATACGAAAACAAATACAGGAAAAATGCTAAGTATTCGAATATGATTACATAGGAATACATTCATGAATACTTTGTAAGGTAATATGCAATAATGATAAAACAGCAGACGATAAGATTTCAATATTATTTTTTTATGAAACAAACTTCTTAGAAACCGAAACAAACAAAATTCGAACGAATAATATTTCAATACTTTTATTTTTCAAAATGCAATAACAAAGTTTTAGGACAAAAAATATATTTTTAAAGGAGATTAATAGATATTATAACCGTCCATTGTTCTTTATAAACATCAGTCTCAAATGTCTTGTTCGTGAGACGGCAGCAATCAGGTCTGAGGGTTTTGCTAAATAAACTCAGAGGATGCTGGAACGCTCAGGTAGCGTTTGGCTAGTAGAGATATGGTAGGACAGTTTTTTTTGTGGATCTTTCAATAATCTAGAAGGTTGTTTTCTTCAGGAATACAAGAATCATCGAGGTAGGCGTTGATATCTGTATCCTCTGAAGATTAGGTGGATGGTTTCTTGGAGGCAGCAAAGAAACTAAAGAGTTTACTTCTTTTGCGAGGGGGGGGATTTACAGTCCTCTTTGGGGTTCCATGGTTGTAGGGTTTATTTGTTAAGGAAACTTTCTTGACTTCTTGCTGCAGGATCATTTGATTGGATTCATAGACCATAGGTCTAGTGAAACACTAGTCAAGTTTAAATCTGGGATCCACTGCCGCAGCCAAGCAGAATATTTTTCGTTGCTCATACTGAGTCAGCAGGGCGTGAACATATTTCTTCAGTGCAGAGACAAGATTGAAATTAAATCTGGACAGCATGCTGTCAATCTCAGTTATCAGCCCATAAACACATGACATTACATAAATGGAGGTAACAATGTTCTGACCCTGGGTGAAATCAGTTGCCCCTTCAAAAGATGTCAGTATTGTCACCAAATCTGCAAGCATAGTTCGATCATGAACATTAAGTTTCGATGTACCAATACCTAGATTATCCAACTTCTCCTGTGGAATCTTAATTAAAGACTTAATAATCTTAATTTCTGAGTTCCATCATGTTGGTATTACTGATTAAACTCTGGTCTCTCCATCAAGTAGATCAGTTGCTTGCGTTGATTTTCGAATGTAGGACACTATGGCTAATGCTTTGGAAAGTACTTTCAGCAGTGGTCCAGTTTTTTTCATGCCATCCCTAACCACAAATTGCGTCGTGTGGGAAAAGCAAGGTTCATTTTTAGGAAGACATTCGGATAAATTGTCTGCTGACTTAGATTCATCCAAAAGTTCATTTTCTGAGTAACTATATTTAGATGAACTATCATCATCCTTCACACTAGGTAGTGTTTGCGGTTCAAATCCAGGCAAGCATAAAGCCTTGAATCATCATGGTGGATACGTTATCAGATGTCACATATGACACATTGTTGTTGATGTTAAAAGGATTTATTATTTCTTCATATTGAGCTGCAATGTTATTAGATGTGTGACGCACCTTGAAACGCCGACATGCCAGCATGACTGTTTGCATTTTCCAGTCAAGTATAAAATGACCAGTGACACCAAGAAAACTGCACATTTGTCTACTACTCTAGATATCCACAGTGACATTGATGTTGAGTACAAGTTGCAGTAGAGATATGACTTTTTGTTGGACTTTATCAAACCTGCTCTCGATCAACGTTGTGGACAGATGATTGCGACTGGAAGAAATATACCTAGAATCCATGGCTGCCATTAGATCTTGAAAATCTTTTGACTCCACCACTGAGAAGGGTTGTAGTGTACCGGCAATAAAATTAACGAGTTTGTTAGTGATGTGCTTCTGACGATAGTGTGTAAACTTGTATTTAGTTGATTCTGTACAGTATGCTGTTATTGTAGGCTGCTGCATCTGGGCGGAAGTACCAGAGCCAGATGTAGACTTTTGTAGCTCTGCCTCATGATTGCACTAGAAATACAAAAGCGTAACTCAGTTATATAATATAGAATATATTTTGTAATAAAAATAATAAAAAACAAATAATGATAAACAAAAATGATGAATATAGTTCAAAACATGAAGAAATGTAGTTTAACTGTAGAATACAGTTTATAATAATAAATGAATATCTCAGTTATATAATATAGAATATAGTTTATAATAAAAACATATAACACTAAATAACTTAAACGCATGAGAAATTTAGTTTACCTATATTATTTTGTATAATTTATATAGAATATAGTTTATATTAACAAAAATAATAAAAAGGCTTGCCTTCAGATGTGTCAGCAGGTTAAAAGTGATTTTCCTGAAGTATAAACAGTCCATTCACAATATTACACTTTGTTTTGATGTGACCAGATCTAGCAGTAGGAAGTATGAAGTGTTCATGTACCACTGAAGGCAGTTTAGTAGCCATCTCAAATTCTTTCAAGTGACTTGACTGGAATAATAATCATGTAATACAATAACTTTTAAGGTGGTTAGAGAGTATTGACCTGAATTAACACGCACAGTCGTCAGAACGTGACCGGACGTGGAGACACAAACTGTAACGACGTGGTGTAGTTCCAAAATCGTTTTGATGTTACATACTTAACCTCTGTTCACTAGACTGCAACTGAATCATTGTTTAACACTAGCAATAAAACTACGATATACTAAGTCATTAAATCGTTCTTTAACACTACAAGTGTACAATACCAGTGTAATATTACATCACTATTTTGCACTATAATGATACCAGGATTTCAAATATTATGTTTTATGAGCTTGATCACTGATGATTTGGAGTGGAGATAGTGATCAAATTAGACACTACACGTGTGCCAATTCCAGACGCCATGCCAATTAGTCAATGCAATCTACAGACCAATTATTTTTATATAGAACTGTGATCACCATGTGCATATGTTTTAAATATTAAAATTTTACTATTCACAGTTTTGTTAGGTTTTCTTCATTCAAGCTTTCTGCTTTAAGTTTTGACGTGAAATAATAACCTGACAAATTTTTGCACAACTTTCCGCAATAAATCTAAAAAATGTATAAAAAACACACAAAAAACCCTTAATAGAGATTTAGAAAAACGTACTTTTCCATTAAGTCTTTCTTACAGTGTCATCTGAACCCAGGTTCTCATGCCAAGGTCAGCTATACGACTATAAGTCTAATGAAAACCAGATCTGCCGACGAAGGTTACCCATTTGTCTTAAGTAACTCTCTTACTCATCAGTAATGTTAGCCTCAAGTTCCACGATATATGGCAGAACAGACGCGGCTTATTATTGTAAAACTTTAACCTCTAATACACTATTTAAGTTTTGATTATTCTATTTAAGAAGATAAAGTCGTTTTTTTCTTCTTCATGCCAGCCAAACTTGAGAATCCAGTTTGAAACTTGCATTTCGCGATGTTATTACCGAGTATGACTAATTCTGATTCAATTTCAGTCACAAACTCTCACTAATAAAAACATGCCCCCAAAACAAGACAAAATGAATAGCAAAAAATATTTTGTGTGAGAGAGTCGAAGACCCTGTGGAAAGAAATAATTGTTCTGTTTATTTATTTAAAAAAAAGAGGAAAAACTCATTTTTCTTGACGAGATTTAAAGCAAGTATTGAAACTATGGCTACAGATTCAGTTTTTCATTTAACTGCTTTGAAAAAAGAAATTGAATCAATGGAGTAAAGTGTGAACAAGTGGAATATTCTTTAAAAATAATACAAACAGTTTAATTATATTAACATTTATAATGTTGAAAACAATCCACACAAATTATATTTCTATTAATAAAAACTGCGTGAAAAATAGAGGTTTTCGTGCTGTTTACATTATTGAACTGCGTTAGAAATACGCAGTTTTCTTGATGTTTTTAATCTTGAACTGTTTGAAATTACATTGATTTCTTGTTGTTTATATTCTTCACCTGCTTAAAAACAGTTTCAGAGTTGTTTACATTGTTGAATTGTATAAAGAAAGACCATCTTAATAGTTTTTTTGATAACTATGAATTATGCTTACATAATCCATCTAAGCAAACGTGAAATTCAAGCATTTCATGTTATAATAACATGGCCGTCATATAATGAGTAAAAGCTCAAGATTTTCGAGTCTATATTTTTTAAGTTTTTGAACTCTCCATTGTTTGTAATGATTTACGATATTTTATATTATGATATTAAAATAGGCGCGGTCCTTTAATTCTTACTTGTCTTATTAGTGTCTTAAAATAAAAATAATATTAATAACCACGAAATTACCAGGTCACAGAAAAACAAAAAGAAGATGAACGTTTGCCAAGAAATTCCTTGAATTTTTGAAGTGTCGCAAGACAGAAGTTTACAGGAAAATTGTACAAGAAATATTGAGGTATATTAAACAAGGTTTCAACAATAAGCAAACTGAACAGTTGATAAAAAATCTACGTCATAAAGTTGGTTGGTTGTTGTTAAGCCCAAAGATACACCATGGGCTATCTGTGCTGTGCCCACCAAGGGTATCGAAACCTGGTTTTAAGCATTGTAAGCCTACAGACTTGTCGCTGAGCCACTTGAGGGCCCGTCATAATGAAATACAGCGTTTACGAACAAATCTGGTACCGTTACTAAAAATACCAGATACTTGAACTACTACCATATCGAATAGATAGTTTAAACACTACCACGGAGTTTAAATAGTTAAACTATACAGATCCAAACTTCAACTAAGAGGCCAGGTACTGAACTAATGTGTTAATTATCGGATTCTTTGTGTGACTAATGCGTTAATTATCAAATTCTTGGTGTATCGTATCCAACAGACCAGATGCTTGAATTAAGAGCCAGTGGGCATGGTCTAGTAATTAGGGCACTGGGCTGTCGATCAAAAATTCAATGCTCGAGACACTATACGCAGTTGTACAGGCTCTTCACTGTCAGTTGAGGAACGTTATAATAGTGCCAGTGAATCGCGCTGCTGACTGATTGACTCCTTTTGGTTAGCAGCTCTAAATGAATGACTGTTTCTGACTGTTTAGCCCACGTGTCGCATACGGTGTCATTCAGGTGGAAAATACCAAAAAATTAAATATTGCACAAGCTAGATATTTGAACTAAATAACACAAGACCAGGTGTTGGGCGGTCTTATGTTTAACGTGCCGAACTGGGCATCTGAGGAACCATTGTTCGCTTTCCGTTACCGCAAAAATAGGATACAAAATCGCGCTCTTGACTTTGAGATCATGGGTGCGTTATAAGAGTGATGTTCAAATCCCATTGTTCGGTCTGACAAAAGCATTCCAAGAGTTGGCAGTGAGTGGTGTTGATAGCTACCTTCCCTCAAGTCTAACCATTCAAAATTAGGGACGGCTAACACAGATAACCCTCGAATGGCTTTGCGTGAAATTCAACAAACACACAAATCCACTTATATGAGCTAAGTACCGCACAAACCCGATATCTGAGAGTTCAACTAGTACCCTAGTGACCGCTGACATAATATACTAAGTATCAAATACAGTGTATTTATAACAGTAACACACACACACACACAAAACACGAAATACCGGAACTAGTGTTATACAGTACAGCTACTCAAATTAATACCAATGAAGTAAAACACTTGAATTGGTATCATATCGAGCATATATTGGTTTCACTAATACAAGTATTCTAGAAAGTACCATACTGGTCAGATACTTAAATTAGTATCTCACGAAAAGATACTTAAACTTATACCTTACTAAGTACCTTACAGACAAGATACTTAGTGTAATGCCTTAGAGCCTAGAAACGTAAACTAGTGTTATGGATGCACAACTCTTACGTGAAGTAGTAACTTGCCAATCACGTATTTATACCAATGTCACATTGGTTATTTTCATCATCCGGACAATTGAAACGAATTATTATATGTATCAAGTACTTCAAATAGCATCATACAGACTAGGTACTGAACTAATACGCTAGTAGATAGTACCTTGTAAATCAAATATTTAAACTAGTACCCTAGTGATCAGATATAAAAGCTTGTAACAGACATAAAATGTAAACGAGTATCAGGCAAAGGAAATCACACATTCAGGCTGTTATTATAAATGTTTTAAAGCTCATTTGAAATCTCATAATTTTACAAATTGACTTTAACCCCCCCCCCCCCCGAAACCAAACAAGTTCTACTTAAATCATGTGGATAAGATTATAGGTGCAGGAAAAACATGATTGGTTAACATTTTGAGTATGAAACTGATGCAGACACTGTAACCATCTGCTCCAGCCCACTGTTCAAACAACTATAGCTACAAGCCAAACTGTCGAATCAAGTTGAACAAGAAACGTAATGGGTTGAAGACAGTCGTTATTGATTAAAGCATTCGGAGACTTTTATTAAACACTAAATTCCACAAGTAAATTTGAATATCAGACGAGATATAGAAGTAGAATAGATTAGTACATACCTCCGCCAAGCAGCGTTGATCATATTCGTCTCTCAAAAAATACGAAAATGTGTCCGTATGCTCGTTGTTACCAAACGACAAGCATCATTTTTTTTTCAGGACAATAAGGAATAATATTCTACATATGTCCACGAAGTTTAATCAAAATCCAATCGTTTTTGGCTGAGTTATAGAGCAAAAATAGTGAAAAAATCGCTCCCATATTAACAGATTGGGATTATTTGGATTTTCGTGACCTTGCTGTAACCTTGACCTTTGACCCTAACAAACGAGAACTTCTAAGTTGGGTCATAGTCCAAATGTATACCAACTTTCTTACAAATCCATTTAGCCGTTTTCGACATATACTGCTGACAAACACACACACACGGGGGGGGGGGGACATAACCTTCGTCCACTCTCGGTGGCGGAGATAACTAGTTGGCGACTGTTCCTCTTAAACTGCAGATTTTATTGTTGAAAGTGTTAGGAAACCAGATAATGAAATGGGAGGAACATCAAGTTTGAAAATAGTATGTAAAAATA